GGTGTCCAAAGAAATCCAGCACGGAGGTGGCTTGCACAGTTGTTACTCATAGTTCCTATTGTCAACCCGCTGACTACATTAACTCTTTGCTACCCCTTTTCTCAGAAAGTCCTCTCTAATAACAGTTCCCATATATTAAAGCTTTCATCGACTCATTCAAAAGCTTAGGAGAACAATTTGAATTCACAAATTTCAGTGAATTATTTAAAATGAAGCTAACATTCAGTATACTCGCTGCTTATTATGCTGGCTGTGAAAAAAACTCATTTTATTATTAGCTGACTACCAGTTTGCTATTTCACTCTCAAGCTACATCATCCACAGAAATTTTGCAGAGTGAAGCTTCAGGGTTTGATTAGTTTTGAATTTACATTTAATTACGGGCCAAAATATAAAGGCAAGAAACCTCCCTGACACATATTAATGAATACATGCATCAAACTTCAGGAATGCAGAGTGTGCAGACAAGCCTCCTGGTGGCCACCCATCAGGCAGCCTAGACCAAGCACCAACCACCTTTTTCTTGCACAGCACAATTAATAAAGAGAGGAAGCTGATGAGGAAGGGGGGTGACTGGAAGACTGAACAAGAAAAGTTATGAACGGAATTGGATGCTGGGTTTCAACAAGTTATTTCTGGGAAAGAAAAAAAAAGTCAAGGTTTTCCATTTATTTTATGTGCTACAAAAATGGAAGTGGCAAAGTAACTGCTTCATGAAAACCTGGCTTGTGGTCTACTTTAACTTCTTTTTTTTCTTCTGAAGAATACCCTTAAAACCTTTTGATCCGGCAAGGCAGCAGCCAGGGAAACCCCTCCAAGCAGGAAATTATCAGATATTAATTGTTAGTTTAATTATGGGAGAGATCCACTCTGGCCACCTTATTTTACCCTGCTAATTAAGTAACATTTTGCTGATTAGTTGAGGCTAATCATTCCACTCGGATGAGGTCAGGGCGTCATGTCAGAACAGCTCCGGGTCTCGGAGGAGCTGTGCCTGGGTGTGGTGGCGTACTCTGCTCCGCTTCAGCGAGGAAAAGCCCCACGTCTTAACGTGGGAAAGCAATCCCGCTCGAGGCACAAGACCTTTCAGAAAGGCTAGAAAGATGGGTTTAGCATGCACCTAACTGTCGCTATCGCCAAGTTCATCGGTTTAACCCCTTGCTGGCAGGGAGCTGGCCCTCGGAGCAGGAAGTCGCTCGGTGGAAGTCCTGACGCAATGCAAACCGACGCAGTTGCAGCTTAGCTTAATACAAACCCTCTTGAGTCCACGTTGACAAATTCTTTAACAAGCCCTGTGGTTACAGGGAAGCTGGTTTCAGTCTGAGTCACTCCTGTTCAAACAGTTTACTGGAAATGGAGGGGAGGGGGAATTTTCAGAGAAGTCATGTGATGGCCAGACAAACCACAACCAGTAAAGGTTCAGTGGAGTCAAAAACAGGTCCCAGCAACGACTGACATTCAGCGTGCAGATGACACTCAATCATCTACAAACGGGTCCGGCTGCATCGCGGGCTTTGGATAGATTTAACCCTTTCCCCAGTTTGTATTCTTTCAAAGGAAGGCAAGGACACAATTTGGAAAGTAAACAAACAGCAGTAAACTGATAGTAACATAGGCAACTAGAAAATATTTTTCCAGGAAAATCTGGCTGCAACAACCCCGCACAGAAGCAAAGCTCGATGTGTAAATCATTAGTTCTTAAATATATGCCACTTAATGAATCCAAACACTTACAGTCATAAAGGGTTAGATAGACAGCAAAGATACTGCTTACTTCCTCCTCTTAGTAAAGAGCACCATGATACAGCATGGGCCCACGCACTGCACGTTACCACTGAGGACCGTGAGGAAAGCTGGCAGTAAGCTTCATTTTCACCAGAAACCTCTGTCCGGTTTAAGAGTTTCAGCATGACAGAAAAAAGACACGGAGAAGAGAAAATACTTAACAATCAGCAACTATTAAACTGGCAAAAAGTTTGCATGTGTGCAGGCACAAAACGGTACAAAACTATGCTTGCACTGTGTTATTACCAATATGCTGCTCTAGCACTAAGTAGTAGATTCACTTCCCCTAATTGAGAGGTTGGTTTGAGCAGCTGCGCTAGAGATACTCCCCGTCACTAAAACAGGGGAGCTCCGAGAAAAAAATGCCAGCGCTCTGGAATTTGACTAGAGGAGAATCAACAGCGACTGAGACAGCGATTAAAACATTCATCATTTTTAAATACTGTGCTAAGCAGCAACCGACCGGACCGAGCTGCCGTGTTCCTGCAGCGTGCCGGGCTCTGCGTTGCGGGGAGCTGGGAGGAGAAGAGCACCCGCGTGTAACCCGCACGGCTTCGCCGGGGCAAAGCCGCTCGCGGTAACAGGGAGAGCCAGGAGGCCGGAGCCTCCTGAGGCTCGCTTTCTGTAACCGAGGCCAGGACACGGGTGCGCGCACGCAGAGGCAGCGAGTGATCCTTTAAGACGAGGGGCTTTCTCTGAAGCGCGCTACTGGAAAACGCGACAGGCGCGCACATCCTCTGCTAGCTAGTGAGTTTTCTTCAAACCTAACTCAAGGGGACAGGTCACTCAGATTTGCAATTTATGACAGAATAACCCTCAACAGACTCTTCAAAGGAAACATTTCACTTAGTGCAATGTTGAATGGGACGCTACTGCTCTAAGCTGTATAGTCCTTCCAAGTTCTGGCCCCCGCCTCCCCTTTTAAGTGCTGAACTAGCCAGCACGTTCCCCCTCGCAGGCCATTCGGGCTAGATGTTACATTCATAGTCTATTCTCACCACAGAAGATCCTCATCTGTTTCTCAAAATTACCATTGTTTTTGAGGAAGAGCAGCAACAAGCTTTCTAAACAAAACACAGGCACGCAGAAACGTCAAGCCATTTGGCTTTGCCTTGTAGGCACAGAGCAGCTCAGCAGAAGTGCAGAGGGAAGCTATTCTTCAAGATCTAACACACCCAAATTCAGGCTTTTCAAAAGCACAGGATGAAGAGAGACCTTTATACTGAAGGGCAGCCTTCTGTCATTTGACGTCAAACATTCGTAGTAGTCTCCATGGCATGAGACACTTGACACATCCCCCATTTTCTTAAGCATAATGCTTGAGTTTTGGAGAGCGGGAGACACTGATGCAGGTAATGAAAATTGCTATCAAGCAATTTAAAAATAGACTTTATAGCTCCTCATGAAGTAGCAATTACAGAACAAATAGTGATAAGCTATGCTTATGATGCTGGGATTTACTCAAGGTCATAGGAAACGGCAGGCCTGTCTCCCACAGACATCTAGCAAAAACATGATAGAAGCCAAAAGCAAGGAGGAAGTCATATTCGCAAGTGGAAAAAACTGAACTGTCAGTTTTATGAGTGCAATACATTTTAATCGGATTGTCAAACCCTCACGTTAAGAGGGTTTTATAGAAACCAAACCACAAGCATAGTTTAAGAGAGATTTTTTCTGGCCATCCATCCACAAAAACAACATGTTTCAAATCCAAATTCAGTTGCCAAGAGAATAAAATCAAAAGTACTGGTAAATAACACCATTATGTTTCTTAATTAGTTACACAACAGCATTTGTTTACTAAGGACAGTCAATACAGTTAGCTATACTTTGGCCTGTCCTGATAGATGCTCTCTAGCAAAAATTTTCTGCTCAAGAATCCCTTTTGTGCGATCCAGAAACCACCTCTGGCTGCTCCCAGCGCTCTACATGCATATAATTTGCTGGGAGAGAGTTTCAGTGAACGGAGCTAGCATTTCAACTCTTAAGTCAGGTATTTGATTGGTTTTGTGTATTTTGTATTGGGACTTTGTTTTTATGCAGATAGAGATTACTTTGCAAAACAAATATTGACAATAGGGCAAAGGTCAAAGCAGTTTTTTGGGGTTTTTTTGCCACTGCTTCTGTAAAGATATAGAAGATAATTTACTATTTACATTAGCAAAAAACCCCTTTGGAACTATCAGGCAGGCTCTCATGAAACACAGGGTTTAGGATTAGTATTACTATAGTATTAGTATTGCTGTATTACCAAATTGCACCAAATATTTCCAAACAAGCTGGATAAGCTTCATCCATTTTTTTGAGAAAGTGCCAAAAAAAAATTATTTGCATCAAGAAAACATGCTGGCAGGAGTTAGGTACATTAAAAGATAGCTGTACTGGTAAACAGCATCTGCTGGTTTTTTTCATAGCAGTCTCATGACCCTCTTTGGTTTTGCTAGACAAAACAGGAGTTAAGAAGGAAAAATACAGAAGAGAATTTCAGTGGCAAGAAGTTTGAGGAAAAAAATGTTTATCTTCTTTTAAGACGCTGTCAATAACTTCTGAAGAAAATGCAAACTTCCTGACCTGAATGAAAATTATCAACAATATCTAGCTGAAATACAGCATCAGTTGCAAAATATGCTGTAATGCAAGCAGTATTTAATCTATCAAGAAAATAAGTGACAAGAAAAACAAAAATGGATTCAGAGCAGTTTGGCTGCATTTTCACATCAGGAAAAATATGTTTCCTCAGGCTGATGAATGGGTCATGCTCTGGCCCTACAGGCTGCTAGCAGCAAGGCAGGTAAATGTCATCTCAAGGGGATGAGTTGGCTGACAATTATCTTCTGGCTCAGGAGGTTTTAAATTCAGCTATTCTATAATCATGGTTGTTAGAGCATCTCCTCTGTCACTGACTGGTTAGCCCACTTTCTCCCTACCTTTCTTGTTCTGTTCTTGGAACTTAAAAGAACCCAAAACAAAAAAAACAGTATTCGTACCAGATACTTTGGCTGCACTATTATTCGTCCTTCAACAAGCCACCTTGTTGTCCTACTGCGATGAGAGGTATCTCTACCCAGCGGAGGATCTTTTCTCACCCCTGGGAAGTCCCCTGTGAAAGCACACCAACTGATTTTTGGCCCATTCCCCATTTCACTGGAACAGTTATTTATTCCCTCTAGTTTGCTCTGTGCTTTATGAACACTGCTACTTTGAACTGTTCTTACTTGTGCAGTCTCTGCATGTTCCAGCATCTCCTCAAATTCCTGGTACTCTTCATCATCAGGTTCAGCACCAGAGAGTCGGGCCGCCCTCGCCATAAAGTATGGAGGCAGCTCTCCAATGGCTGTGCCAGCACCCTGGGAAAAACAGAGTGATTCTGATTTAGTCTCGTGTATATGCTAGAACAAGAAACGTGATACGCACAGTCCCTTAGACACTTCAGATGATTAGAAGCCATGAATATGTATCATGTTATTCCTGAAGAACTGCAAAGACCAGCTGCTTCCAAAGGTTTACTTTTACCTATCAGGACAAATTTATTCTGCTTTTAAATATAATGCAGTTGCTTTGGAACTTTACTTCCCCCCTCTCCTAGTTTAGCTAAATTCAGCTTTTCTCAACCCAGACTGCAATGCTGCAAGTCGCGCCGCCCTGCCCGGTGTCCCGGGGAGGCTGCAGCTCATCCCCACCGCAGCCAAGAGCTCTGGCCGGGCGAGCCGACGCGATCCCTGACTCAGCACAGGCTGCCCTCTCTCCCCCGCTACGTGACCCCGTGTGCCAGACACATTTGCCAGCATGTGACGGGCCTCGCTCCTGCGCAGCCCTCAAAATAACCCGGGAACCCCTCCCCTGGGCTGTCACATCGTTTGCTGGTACAGTCATAAGACTTGGTGCAACTGTTTATTAGAAGACAGCCTCAAGTTTTACTAAAGCTGTGAGCAAGGAAAATAAGGGTAAGCAAAGCTTGATCTACAGCTCTATCTCTAAAATGGAAAAAAGAAAGCCAAGAGAACCAGAGATGAAAGCATGGCTCCTTTTTCACCACAGGAAAATTATATTTGTTTTCTCAGGACATCAAATGACTCACTTCAGTCTTGTGGGTAAATGCAACTTTAACTTTACCCAAAAAAAGAAAAAAGAGTTAAGATTGAACATATGGATAAACAGAGGCTAATGAAACAGGAACTTGGATTAAACTCAAAATGGTTTAAATATAGGACAGGTAACAGCACAATAGTTGGGTGCCATGCTGGAAAAGTGCTAAAACATAGCTACATGCAGATGGCTTTTCTTTCCTGGGGTCAGGAGTGAGTAACAAAAGCTTTTCTATTCCTTTGAAGCAATGTAAAAGCTTTTCAATTTCCTTTGTTCCAGTTTGATATGCAGCTGCATACAAGGGAGAATTCCAGCTGCTGCGTATACTCCAAATCAACAGGTTGGTCTTAAATACCACTGCTCTCTGCCCTTACCCAAGGTGTTAACAATTCTCAGCATATAAAATACACAGCCTCACATGTTTATTCCCTTGTTTTCCACAGAAGAAACAAATTCAAATGAATGCAACAAGCTGAATATCATTCATCTGCCTATTTCTGGCACAAGGAAAGATAAGTCTGAAAACAGTAGCAACAACGTTTTAGAAAAATTAACTTGAGGTTATGGTCTTAGGGTGATGCAAGAACGAAAAGTCACATTGCTTCTCAAGACTCTGCCAATTTGCTTTGGCTTCATCTTGTTAACTACGGAAGAGGTTCGCATGTGTGTACAGGACATGAACTTTCTTTAAATTGGGTAAGTCACATGCTCATCATTACAAAACATTTCAGAAGCGCAACAAAATCATATGATTTCATGTCTGCTGGAGATAGGTTCCTTAAGTGCAGAAAAAAAAAAGAAGCAATTAAGGGATCCAACCCAGTAACTATTTAACTGCTATTTGTAACATTAGCTGTCCACTTTCGCCAGTTAACTTTAAGTGTGAGGTTTACTCAGAGATTCCTTGGACTAACAACGAATTGGAAAAGCAAGCGCTAACCAAAATTCTTTTACACCAATACATTCAGAAAAGGAAACTGGGAAACTACTCCGCTAGAAAGAGTCTTTTAAACAGATTTTATCCTGGTCAGGACACAGGCTGCCTGTTCTGCTAATCCTGAGCAATTAAACATTTTATTCTTTCCCCCTACTTCTTGTAAAAAACATAAAAAAGCTGCAATGCATTAAAAATGTAGGGCACTATTGAATTCCTCGTCCCTGCGGGATGGAAGGCTGTGAAAACTGGCATACACCTAACTAATTGTTTCTGAGAGTCCTTCTGCAGGCTAGGACTGGTGGAGCCAATTTTTATAGTGATTTAAAAAGCATCATTTTTGTTTCACCTAATAATTCCTTAGATATAGGGATATTTAATCCTAGTAACACTCATTATCAACAAAAACAGCTATCACTGACATGCAGGGGACTAGTAATGACTTTTAATCTATGAAAAAAAAAAAAAAGACTGTGCCTGGTTTAAGTTGGCTGAAACAGCCATTAATGTTTTTGTGAACTGAATCAAACCCCTTGTGCCGATAAAACCCCACGTTCAAACCTTGTAGGATACTTAGCCTGGGTAGCTTTATAGCCAGAGGTCTCCAAGGCCCTACTGGGACCGTCCTGCTTTCAACAGTTCACATGAAAACTTATATTACTACCACCCTCCTGTCTCCTTTCAAACAACTGAGGAGATTGGCCAGATTTCACTCTGCAGCCTCTCAGCATAATTTCACTTTACAAATCTAAAGGAAACAGGCCATCGGTGCTATTGTGGCAGTTCATCACAGGGCTCCATGTGCTGCATTAGGAGCACTTCTATGCATACCTAATAATTCTTTTTCTTTCACAGTCTATCCAGTGATTATTAAGATAAATTCAGATTTTAGATCCAATTAGAAGCTGCTGGTCCCATTAAAAAAAAGCTTTTGTGAGTTGATTCAATCATACATAGACTAGGAATTAAACTTACGTCTGATTTCAGTTCAAAAGGTGAAAATTAATTCAAATCAAAATCTTTTAGTAACTAATGTCTGCAACTCAGTATGTTATCACTTGCTTTGCTTTCTGGAAGTCACTGTTGCTTTTCAGTAAGCGGACATTTGCTTTTGGAGTGACAGAAGCAAGAGGAAGTTTCTTCAACAGCTTCCATAAAATGTGAACTGGAATTAGGACAAAAGAAACATACTGGAAGAAGCAGCAGCAGTTGCCAACTTGATTTGGCTTACAGGAAATTAGCAAGCAATGTTTATGTACTCATGAAACATTCCAAGAAAGCATAACATTACACTAGACACCACTGGTAGACGGAGGATGCTCCCAAGGGAAAAGTCAGTGGAGACAGAGTTCAGTGAAAAGGTAGCTGACAGTGAATTCTAAGACAAGAGGAAAGAAAGGGGGAAAGAATACAAAACAGTCTGGCTTGGTTATATTCCCCTGTCTTTTCCCCCAGCCTGATCCAACAAATGCATCTCAAATGAAAGATGGAAGGTACCGTTTGCTCTCCCTCGGAGCTCTTTACCGCTTGGAAAGATACAAGCTTGCAATGCTTGCAATTGTATTAATTCATTTCTAAACTACTTAATTCTCAGAGTTCAGTTAATTTAGGTGCCAAAGATTAAGCAATGCATGTTTACCCTGAGTTAACATTTTTATTTTGCAATCTTAGAAACCTAAATGTAAATGCCATTTTTATTGCTCCAGTCTTCATTAAACAAACTTAAGCAGAAGGGTAACAGGAGGGAAATAAAAAAAAGAAGCTTGCATTTATGGTCTTATAAATACTTGTACCCAAAGTCAGTTATCTGTATCTACTCACCAAGCATTCAGGCAGTTCTGTCCTCTAATTAGATAAAGTGGATTTTAAAAGTAGTACTTTGCTTCTTGAGATAGCTGTAAGTCTGCTTTCTCTGTTAATACTTTGACTTTGGTACTGGTGTATGTTACTTAAGCCTGTAACGTGCGTAACAAACAATTTTTGTAGGAGATAGAGCTGCTAGAGTTTTAGAAGCTGCAACGACCAAAGTTGTCCTCATTTATCTTCTCATAGTATTAGAAGGTATCCAGAAGTAAAACAGCAGACATTAGATACTACGTACTTTCAAAATTTCCTCCCTGCACTTTGAATTGGACAACCAAGAATTTAACAGGTAAATCATCCATCAGAACAGGAAGTCAGTAGTAAAATCAAGTTAATTTGGCATACAGTTTTTAGCAGAGGCATCTGTGTAAACTCCATCCAAAATCATCTATATAACATGAAAAAAAATCTTAGTTGACCAAGATCCTCAAAAAAAAAAAACCCTTCTATAAAAAGCTGCAGAAACAAAGGAAGTAAAATAGAAAGTAAGTTCTAATGACAAACTCTCCTAAGACCCTAACTCACTTCTTAAAAGTTAACCTGCTTTCCCTGTTTTAAGTGAAAATTTTTCCATGATGGAAAAAGGCAGAGCAATAGAAATATATAAAATATATATGTGTGCAATGTACACTGTATTTAATCCAATCTATTAATGCAACCCAGAACAATGTCGCAGCTGTGATATTAGGGTCTGAATCCTTCATATGAGTAACAGCAAGTTATTTCTGGAACTCACCTTTTGCATTAAAAACCTTGAAGCATGTGAGTGTTTCCTACTGCCCTCTAGAACAACAGTCTCTCGGCAGCTGATAAAAGATGGCCTACTAATATCTATTACTTCTCTTTAAAGGATGTTAAAAGTATACAGGACTAGTACAGACAAGATGGATCAGGAAAGATACTTCATTTTGCAAATATACATATTATTGTTAGCAGTGTAGAACATCATCATTTTACTAACTTCAGCATTTTTTTGTGTATTGCTGAACACAGAAATTAAATGCATAAATTAAGATTGTATAAATGTTACAGAACAAGTCTTACCCACATGCAGGCCTCCAGCCTGACTTTTGAGATGATAGCCCATAAAGAGATGGATCCTTCAATCTCCTCCTCATCAGGGCAGATAATTTGATCCGGGTAAGGTGGCTCAGGAAAATTAACTGAGTTACATTCGTATGCAGCAAGAGTAACTGATGCTATGTGTGGACCCTAAAAAAACCACAAGTAATTTCATATATATTTAATGTTAGTTTAAACAAGAATTAAAATTAAAAGCATGTTTGTCTGTGATGCAAGGAACCTAGGTTAAAATTGGTTTAACCAGAGGTGTTTAAGTCCCACGTTAAAAGAAGTTTTGAATGACTGGGACTTCATGACATCTTACAGTGGTCCTTCTTAGCTTTTGGCTCTTTCTCCGAAAATCAGAGAAATAGTAATCCCTCAGAACGTTGCTTAATCCTTGTCCTTGTTCTATATATACAAGAAAGTGACCTTACTGCTGTTTGCTAAAGATTGTCTGAAATGTAAACCAAAACTTAAGTGTTGTTTAAATGCCATGTAAGTAGATTACGTATAGGCTCCATTTTTGCATTAAAAGATTTTTGGGATAGACCTCAAAAAACCCCCAAAACAACAAGAACACCATCAAAAAGTCTGTACAAGCATTGAAGTGCTACACACTTAAAAAGTCTGGAAGAATTGCCTATTTTAATACAAAAAAGTTAAAAATTTCAGTCTCTAGCCTGAGCATTAGATGATGTAGCTAAAAAAGAAGTCACATAACAAAAGGTTAAGCAACAAATATTGTTGGGGGGAATACTGAGTTAAACTAAGCTATTTTCATAAAGTTGCAGATTTAAATGAATTATAAATTTTCTTTATGTATAGGGCAAAAATTGCTCAAACCTTAACTTCTGCTATTAATTATTTAGTGGGTTTTGTTGTCATCTTGGGAAATATATTGTCAACATTTTTCTTCTATGTTTTTTCCCTTCAAATGAGTCACAGTTTATTAGACCAGCAAGGCAGCCTGATACCGACCCCTCTGCCCCCAAATCAAAGCTAAATTTATTACACAGAATAATGAAAGAAAGAGAAAGTATAACAGACTTCAACACTGCCATTCCCCTGCATGAGACCTCCAAAGCTTACTTGGAAATGCAGGAACCAGAGGGCCACTGCCAAGTGCCTGCTGGCTTCGTCTGCCAGTTAAAGGGGGAAATTCTAAGGCACATCTCACACCAAAGGTGCAGCTTCATTGCCTTCTCTAGGCCTACTGGGAAGACGCTTTTAGTCAGGTTCAGTCTTGTCAACGTTTCAGATCTCTCTGAAGAGAGCAGAGCACTGGATTTACATAATTACATTGATATTGCAATTTATTTAATAGCAGTGAAATAAGAGTGTTGAAAAAACAGTTATATTTTTCTGCATGACAGCTGTGACTACTGTTGTCATATGTAAACAGCTCAAAATAAAGCTATTAATCTGTCGTGCCCAACTGGTACTCTGATACCAAGCACACTCTTATTTATTCCGTGTTACTTTGTAGGAGATTAATTCAAAGTGCATTGAGAAATATTTCGATTTCTATGAAGATATATGATGCAGCATATTGACATGATAAATTAGACACAGTCTCTCAAAAAAAAATAAAAATCAAAGACTCATTAAAATAGAACTAAAAAAGGGAGGTCCAGAAGTTGATACACAAAGAGTGATCGTCATATGGAAGGGAGAACAAAGAACAGATGAATGAAAAAATGACTAATACTATAGACCCTCCTATAGGTCTTAATGGCAATGGACTCCTTTTTAGTACTTGTAGGAAGACTGTGCCTGTCCCAAACAACATCATCTCTAAATAAGGCACTCCCATTTTAGTCATAGGGGGCAGAAGCAAAGAGAGAGTAGAGACTTTCTTAAAATTGTAGAGTACCTTTATAGTACACCTGCGGACCTCTTTCACCAGCACACTTCAAGGGGATTTAATTCTCTCCCCTGCTCCTCCCCCCTCTCTCCTGATCCACTAGCTAACTTGGGACAAAAACAAATCTCTCGAGCCATCTTCCTCAAGTTACGGTTTCCAGCTGCAGAAACAGGCAACAAAATTCTCTCGAATGGGAAATTTGCATGGAGGAAATCCCCACCTATGTGAGTTGTAAATGCCCATTTCCTACGGTCCCCAGAGGGTGAGATCGTTGCCAAAGTAGTGCGAGATACGGTGTACGAATCAAGAAGTATGATTTTTCAGTTCCACAAAATTCGGAAGACCTACCATGCTACAGTATAACTACAGCCAGCTGTGATGGGAGACTGTTAGTTTCAGTTTTACAATAGTAAGAGACGAATATAATTGCTACTGTAGTAAGGCCCCCACCCCCTTGCACAGTTTCAGTGATAGCGTTACCAGCATTTCTTTTCAAAAGGCACGCAAGCCGCATAAGGAGGATGGTACACTCTCAGGAGAGGAGGACCTCAGTTTTAGTCCAGCAAGCACTTGCAAAACGCCTATCAGCAACTGCTGCCTGAACAGCAATCCCCTCCTGCTTTGCAGGAGCTGCTGGCCACAAACAGTTTCTCACTGTTGGCATCCTTGAAATGGCTTAATGGTCTCAAAACAGGCTCTGCTATTAAAAGAGCTCTCCCCCGGTCTTGACAAACGTCTGCAAAAGGAAAAAATTTTACAGCAAATAGCAGCCAATGGAAAAAAAGGCATTTCACAAAGCAGCTGTAAACGGCCAACAAGCCACCTGAAGATTAAGCCAATTGAACATAATTCTTCCATTGCAATGTAAACAATTCTATAATGGAAAAAAAAAAGTTGGAGTTATGGAACCCACAGAAGCCACATTTTAACTGGAATAAGAAACAGAACATAAACGGTTCGTTTAGAGTGATAAAGCGTGGAGTAGGAGAACTTGGAGCCAGCCAGAGGAGAGCCGAGCCATGGCCTGTCCTCCCGCAGCAGAGCCCAGCTGTCCCACGAGTCGACCGGACACCACCTCACAGCTTGGAGCCCACGTGCTATGTTTCTGACATCTGCTTTTGTTCTAGTTCGGCCCTGAAAGCTTGCGCGGAACGTTATACTTTCACAAAGCCATAGTTACCGAGCACCTCACAAAACAGTAGTTGGCCAAATAGGACCATGGTTGCAACGGGAAGGGCAGGGGGGGAAAAGAGGGAGAAGAGTGGGAGGGTCTCTGGATGTTCAGCAATAAAGACGGTTTAACTTGGAGTAGAACAGGGAAGGAACTTCAAATGGGTGCTCAGTGCCACCTCTGGAAAATCCCAGCTGATAGAGGCTCAGGTGGTTTCCTTATACTCCTGCCTGAGTCAGAAGGACTAAGTCGCAGATAACTTTTTAATCCCCTTTGCAAACAATACCTTAGCCCCATCTCACTCTCCTCCTCCACTCTGAGCCACAGTAAATACTCAGCGTTGGACAGTTTTCCCTTTCTTTGCTCAGTTTGTTTCAACCACTTGAGGAAAACTAAGATACCCCTTCCTTGAACCCTGCTGCAGCTCTACCTTTAAAAAAGGCATTTGCAAAACTACTTCAAACTCTGTCACACCAGACAACAAACACTAAAACCAGCCAGTTTAGCAGCTACTGCTCGCTAAACCAGGAAGAGTTGTCCAAATTCAAGACATGTAAGATCCTGAACACCAAACTATCTTTCCCACACCCTCCTCCAAATGATTGTTTTTTTCCTTTTTTAATTGCAGGAGGCACTAACAGGGGCTAGCACAGAAGAAATTGAGAAATATTCTGCTGACTCGGGCGAGGAACATTTGCTTGCCACGACTGACGACCAGCAGGAGCCTGTGGTTAGGCTGGAATGCGATTTGTTAGAAATATCTGTACAATTTACCAATCAAACAAGACAAGAGCTGGTCATCAAGAACAACTCAACATAAATCTATTTTCTGGCAAAAGTAATTTAGGGGGGTTTGGAAATCCCTATCTACACAACCCTAATATCTTATAGAAGGCATCCTTGAACTCTTGAACTCACAGGCCGTCAATGAATTTTTAGTTCAGAGACTTGAAGTCATCCGATTTAGAGGCCACACACTGTTACTCCTTAGAAGCAAGTCACCTGAAATGCTGTATTCTGGAATTTCTGCAAAGCTTAGCATTTTATTTATAGATTATGCTTGGACTGTTATAAATCATGCTTGGAAAATCATCAATGGAAGTAGAAAAAAATCAGCAGGCATATGTAAAATAAAGAAGTTGAGTAAAAACTTTAAGAACATGTCAACATGTATAAAATTGCAGCAGGAAAAAAAGGAAAAGTGACTGAAAATCCAATCAAAAGCAAGTGATATTTTCACATTATTAATCATTTTGTGCATCTAGACAGAAAAAATTAAAGCTGTAAGCAAACTCCATATTAAATGTTGTTTTTTCACATACCCCTTCGCATAACATTCATCCCACTGAATTGATACTAGCACAAGAACAACTACATCTAATTTTAACATCTTATATTTGGGGAAGATATAATTTTAGATTGGCTCTGATTTAGAAATATTTCACAAAGAAAAGTGATACGTCTGCCAGCACTGAATTCGCTGCTGAGCCTAATGCACTAAAAATCTGTTTTCCTCCATGGACACACAACTTTTTACACTGGGTTCAAGACTCAGCCCTTCCACAGGGGGGAAAAACATATCATTCCATATTTAATTAAGATAAATTAGAAAAACAAAAGCTTGCTTCTCATGGGAAACATTCTGCAAGCGTTCCCCCAGGCTGCGACTCATCTCATACTTATCTATGAAGTCATTACACCTCTCAAGAAAGCAACGTCAAATCACAGCACCTTTTTATCTTCAGGAGCAGTGGACAACTACCCACAAAGAAAACTGCTCTGTGATTACAAGGCAAAAGCTGGATCTGGAGGTGGCTGGTAAATACGTCAATCTAGTCTGTCTGTTATGAGAAATTAAAGTGTCTCATGATTTTATATAGTGTCTGGTATGCAGTACAGGCTGTAAAATGGAGGCTCCGAATGAAGAAGGAGCCTGTACCTAGAGCATCCTCAAGTGACACAAACATGCACCAAGTGGCTAGGGCTAGTTTTAGCACACCACTGTAGCATTTCAAGCTAGGTATTAATTTTACGATCATGTGTCTGCTAGCAAGTGTCTATTCCCGCTTCAGTCAAGTCTTGCCCCACTGCGCAGAGCTGGTGGAAATTCCA